ATTTTTAACCCGAAATTCGCTGATATCAACTCTCCTTGCTTTCGCTAACAAAGCCGTATGGGTTCCAGTAAGTCTAATTTCGTCAAAGCTCAATTTGGAGATCGGAGAGAAACAAACTTTGGTGCGTATTTTTTATTGTTGCGTCTTTAATATTCCCATGCAATGTGCGTGCGCGCGTATAAATGCACTATTATTCGATTTTCTAATTGCAACGCTTTTACTACTCACTATACGGGATAGTTTTTGCCAAGGCATGAAAACCATACCACATAGGGCTTCTCTTTACACGTAAAAGCGGCAATTTTCGGTACCACTGTAACGGAGAGACGCAGCATCGCCCCGATCTCAAAATTGAAGGGTCACATATCGGATAGGTGTTCATACCATACCGGTATAGTATGAACATAGCCTAAGATCTGCCATTACCTCCAGTAAGATATAAAATAACTGGGTGAGGTTAAGATGTTAAGTTATCAAATTGTTGGATGAGGTTTAGCATGATAGCACGAACTATAAAATATGGGGTTTGTAGTTCTCACTGTCATGCGAAACCAAATTATGCAATACTTGTTATATTTTATACACACACATTACCTTCTGTTAACCAAAACGCATACAAGAAACAAACGCTAAGACACATCAACTTGCTCACAATGTTTCCAATCTTTAAAGCGCTTGTCAAATTTTGTATCCTGTTAACGTTTCAGACCAATGTTACGCCTTATTTTTCCAAATTTCAATGAGAATTCCCCCAGGGTTTTGCAAAATACTTTATGTCTTTAAGAAGCCGATTTTTCAAGGTCTCACCCGTTCGAGTTTGACACACTATGTATTTCTGGAAGTGGTGCATGTGTGAAAAAGTCACAAAATGAAACGTTTCTAACATTGAACTTAATTTTTCAGATTGTTTTATTGACATCTCCGCTTCCATACCAACAGAATAACGATGACATGAAATCCACAAATTAGGTGCTCATAAATAAACTGCAGGCCTACAAATTCTATGACAAGCTATACAGCGGTAGTAGAGGAGGGGAGGGGGGGATTCCGTGACACCTCGACCTCGGGGAGTAGTCCACCCCAGCGCCTCGTCCCAAATGTTCCTCGGTGCTGGGGAGGACTACTTCCTGTGGCCTCAGTGCCATAGAACCCCCACCTCCCCTACTACACGAAGGCCCTGTTTACAAGGAGGAAGGGTAACCCTTGCACTCGCACATTTCTTTTTTTACACGCTTAACCTAGCAAGGGCGGGGGGGGGAGGTACCCTACTTCCCTTGTAAACGCTCTGCTCGAGATAACTCGCCTACCCGGGACAACGTTCGTCCGTCATGCGTGACCAGTAATCTTGACCGTGACCAGTAATCTTGACTATTAGAAAGGAATTATCAAATTTTTGAGCTAAATTATAATCGTCTGAACAATATAAGGTATTTTCTGTCTACGATGATAACTTCAAGTTTTATTTCAAATCTTGGACGTTACAAAAAATGTCACGCATGACCAAACACATCAATAAAGCTGGAAAAGTTGACGCGGGTGATGGGGTAACCCTACCTGTGAAATTTGCTTGTAAACCAGAGCTAACTTCTACCTGCTTGCTAGGGTAACCCTAACACAAGGGTAAACCTCTCTCCTTGTAAACAGGCCCTAAGTGAAACAGCACATTGTTTGTGTGTAACAGCACGTTTACCGAGTGTAACACTACGTTGACTGTGCGGTGACTGCACGAGGGCGTTGACTGCGTGCGTGACTTTGCGTTGACTCTACGTGTGACGCTGCGTTGTTCGCAACCGGAAACCGGATCGAAACCTTGTGATTGAAGCGCACACCCAACTGTCGGCTATTCGTGGCAGAAGTAGAAACATTGTTTCAAGCACATCCAACGGAAACCGGCTCTAAAACACATACTGTTCCAACAGACGCCTCCAGAGAAAAGAAATAACCCTGTTACAGATATACAATTTGTACAGCATATAATGTCCATCTCAAACCAACCCTCGAAAGAGCTCGCAAAGAACTTTCAGGAGGATGTGGGACTATTTCTACAGGCTTCAGTTGAAAATAGCTTGTATAAACCAATACTCGAAAAAGAAAAACGAGGGTCTTCTTATTGACTTTTTTTATGAAATGATGGGAAAGAATGTGGTCGGAAAAGAAGAGTTAGAGAAAAACGCTTTATGATATGCTCGATGACATGGAAGAGTTGGAACTGATTGGTGATGTGGGGGTGGGGTTGTTTGACATGTTGGCACAGAGCGAAACTGCGGAGGAGAGTGAAGGGGAAGAGGTAGTCTCTTCGTTAACAGAGGAGGAAAAAGAAAAACTGTCCTCTTTAAAAACTCAAATGGACGAAATGATGAGAAGGGCTGCACGTCTCAAAAAAGATATTCAAGAAAGGATGAGAAAACGCCAACAAAAGTGCATTCGTTAAAAATTTTCGGGCAGGTAGGCGGTCCACAGCGAACACCGACGCAGCTCAACGGCAGTCACAAACAAAGAAGTGTGTGACTTTCCTAATCAGCCCTGAAATTCCGATACGACCCGAAAAAATGTTTGAGCAAAAGTTTCCTAGTGAAAAACTTGAAATCGGCTCGCATCGGAAAGCAGGGTCGCTCCAGAATGTAAATTATTGTTTGGCTTCACAAAATAACAAAAATAGGATTTCATCATCAGCGGTCATTTTTTTTTTTCTTTTCTTATTTTTGAATGTTTCCAATAATTGTTTTATTCCTAAAGGCTTTCATTCCTGAACTCTTAACTTTAAAAAGTTAAGCTAAAACATCAAACATAACCATACAAATTATTTCGTAATCGGGCATACCCCTACACATCGTAAATATGCTGTTCCGCAAGGATATTTTGGCTTACATCAACCGCGGGACTTTCCCTTTTGACATTTGCATCTCTGAAAAAGACTGCGCTTGAGCAAGCCGATTGTGACGTTTTAGAAACGATTGCCAAATAGAATCACTTTCCGACGTTTCACCAGAAGTCACTTAATCAATAATTTTCGTCCGAATCAGCAAATTCATTTACAGCGTGATAAACCAGAACAACCTCCTCAATCAATAAAATATCAATTCCAAGACCTCTGCGTTGTAAAAAAATATTTGACCCTTCTGAGCAAGTAATAATTTTTTTGTTGTTTTTTTTTTGCTTTTCTCTGTATCTCCTATTAGTGCTTGTAAAAAAAAACATTATTTTTGATCAAGCCGCATTTTGGACAGTACATTTCAAATTCACAAGGGGCAATTCGCATTTTCACACTGCAAACGTGGCGCATTTAAAAATTCGGGAAAAGGCGTTTTGCTTTCTTTGCACATGTCTGGCTGAAGGAGGATATGTTGTTTTCTTTTCTCATAAAGAACTCTCTGCAGAAGGAAACCTTTTCGCTTCCCCCAGCGCCAGCTGGCAGTGCCTGAGGTATTGTGTTACTATTGTATGCGCGCGCAGTTTTTCCTCATGTGTGTTAGAGTCCCTTAGTTTTGAGGTTCCTGTTTCTTCAACATTAGAAACCTTAAGCATCAGGTTTTTCTTGGAAAACCGCAAACCGCAAACCACAAAATGTCCCGTGACCATGGTCTTGCAGTCGCCTTTGCAGTTTGCAGTTCACGTTTGAACGGCAGGAAGGGCTTCCAGCGTTAAGTGACTTACGGCAAGGTTTTTTGCCACTAAAAATTGAACAGCCTCGCGTTTAAAGGCACGAAATAGCTTTTTATATCCGTCTGCGATGTGTTTGTTGGATTTTTGATCTCGAATCATAACCTTTGAGTACATCAACCTTTCGTTCTTTGTCACAGACTTGTAACAGCTACCGCCTATGTCGCACGGAACAATAAACCTCAGCCATCGCTTAAGCTTGATGTGGACACCACCCTACGCACCATCGTCCCCTGGCGTTACATGACCAAAACAGATCTCACCCGTGCCTTCTACCAGATCCCCCTTTCTAAGTCTTCCCTGAAGTACTGCGGTGTAGCCACACCCTTCCGAAGAATTCGCAGCTACATATGATCAGCTATGGGAATGCCTGGGTCCGAAACTGTTCTTGAAGAAATGATGTGTTGCGTTCTCGGTGACTTTAAACTTGCAGATGTGCTCTACTGTGGTGGCGATACCCCCGAAGCACTCCTGAACAACTGACGACGCGTACTCCAGGCACTTTATCGTTGCAACCTTAGCTTATCTCCTAAAAGACTGTCATTTGTCCCAAGACCACCTCCATCCTAGGCTGGATACGGTTCCAAGGCAGGTTATCAGCTAACTCGCATCGTATCGCCGCCTTGGTATCGTGTCCTCCTCTTCCAACGGTCCTCAGTCGTGTGCTTGCTTCTCAACTGCTCAAACATCATTGATTCCCTAGAGTGCGCCCTCACTGGTCTTCAGTGTACAGAGAGATTTAAGTCCGTGCAGGATTTCTTATTTAACCACAAAGGCATAGTTATTCCTCGCCCTTCAGACACCCTCTGGATAGTAACGGATGGATCTGTTACCAGAAGAGGCCTCAGTGCCACATTGTACGTCTCACGTACCAATTAACTCCACTTAGCTGGCTTCTTCAGTGCCAAATTGTGAAAACACCAAGTCACTTGACTTTCATGCGAAGTAGAAGCACTGTCATTTGCTGCGCCCGTAAATCATTTCGCTCCATTTATTATTCAGTCTCAGCATCTAACGACCAGCAAGGTGATCGATATGGTCGTCAAAGTGGACGACGTAGAAGCTCTGCAAAAGGAGATATGGTACTTCGCTGCGAGCGCCTGCTGGCGGGTGCCAACGCTGCTCTGATCACATCCAAGCACGTCGATTTTAAGAAAGAACCTGAAAAGGAATCTGAAAAGGAGCCTGTCCAAGAGCCTTGCAATGAAGCTGACCACGAACCTGCAAATAGACTGCAAAAACTTTCATCTTATCATATACAACATGGCTGAGTAATCCGATGCACCTGCGGATGCGCCTCATGAAGCTCCAGAGCAAGTTTTGCCAAAAGTCCTCAAAACAAAACTTCGAAAAAAACCCTGGGCGAGTTGCGACTGGAAAAAAGTTAGCTGAGCGTACCGGCGTGGCACGTGAGGCAAAAAAAAAAAACATCAGAAGCTCCTGCTGAGCAAAAAGAGAGCGGCAGCGGCGGAGCCAACGAATATTTGCTTCTTGGCATAGAAGGCCCGGCTGTCTCCGCTCTGGGCGTTTATTATCAGCGAAAGGTGAAACCCGGCTCCCAGCGAAACTGGGACACCTGAGCCTTAGCAAAAGCCACCTCGCAATCTTCGCTCAGTGGATTGAATTCTTCTGCATAATATATACAACCATGCTCAAAAGCGTGATTGAAAAAGCTGTTCTCGGGACGCCAACGCTTTATGGCCTATAGAGCTTTTATAATAATATCTTATTCTAAATCAATGAACAATTTTTACGTTGGGCGCCATCGAAGAGATGTTTCGACCACCTCGCGTTGATAAAAAAATGAAAAGCAGCCCCTTTCGGCCGAACGCATACAGGCGCCTGGCATGTGAGGAGGAGGAGGAGGAGGAATAATTTTTCACACAAATATATACAACCATATCCGACAACAAGCTCGTCAACACTGTTCTCGACGCTGCAACTCTTACCTGCCTGGCCGCCGGCATCGGCTGAGAAAAATCAAAGAAAACTTCACTGCCGACCGCAGCAGCAATGCAATGAGCTACGTGAAGTTCACCATCGTGACCCGAAACAATATCTCGAGGATCAAAGACTCCTCCCTCGACAAAGCTCTCGAAGCTTACCAGGCTTCTTATGCCAAATATGAAAAAGAACAAACAAAAATGCTAGACTGGATCGGAACGCAGGGCGGAAACAAAGAACTGACCAAACAAAACTTAACGAACACCGACTAAGCCTTCAAACTCTACAGCCGGGTGCACGAAGTTGAGCCCAGCGCTCTGCAAAAACAAGGCGAGTTAATTTTTGTTGGCACCGGCGCTCTTGCGCTCAGATACGCTGCCTTTCTATTTTTATAAATAAATAACGTCAAAGAAATCCTCATAAAGAATTTGTTCATTAACCCCACCCCCCTGTAGTCTATTTCTTCACGTTTTTGTGCAACTAACTTACATTTATTAAATTTACCTTCAATTTCATCCTATTCTTTTTGGAATTGACCCTCTCAATCGTTGTCGGTGAAAAACCTGTGTCCTCGTATTCCAGCTCGGCGAGCACTATTTCCATTAGGAATTGCACAATGAGATGATCAAAAAGTGTGCTTTGCCATGCTTCTGGCACATTTACACCAAGAAAACCAGAAAGTTTCCAGCCTTTCAGGCCATCGATGACTTCTTTCTATTGTTTCCGCCACTTCTTTGTAAACCATGATTTTTTTTCTTGCATTTTCGGTAGCAGCGTGTCCCACTGACTCCCCATTTCTATTTTTTACATATGTTCAATATAGAAATGACCGATCTTCTGACTCTGGATATCTTCACAGTGCTAAAGGTCTGCTGGATGACCGCACTTGCGGCTGCGATTGTCTCGATTAAGCCTCGAGACATTTTTTTCTTTTACCGGGGAAGGGTAAGCCTTGTGCATGAAAATGCGCAACTGGTGCGTGACAATGCTCTTTTCCTTGCTGTTTTCGTGACGCTCACCGCGGTTTTGGCGAATTTGGCTGTTGTTGGCCAGCTGAAGTTTTCGATTCGTAACAAAGAATCAAAAGTTCGAACTGTAAATTAGTATGGGATGAACGAGAAACTTTCAAAAACTTACTACAGCCCTCAAGGCTACTGGAAAGGCATCGCCGCCATCATAAAGTTCGCGAAAATGATGCCAAAAAAGTGGACTGATAAGCCAAGCCCTTTGGCAAATATATCTTCCTGCTCCAAAAACACATTCCTCGCCCCAACGATGTGTCTGCGCAAAACGCCAGGCAGACCTTTTTTGTCGTCGACACGACACTGTGGGGCGTGGTCGAGGCCGAAAAACATACAAATACGCTTTGACCGTCGTCGATGTGGCCAGCCTTTTCAAAGACGCTGAACCATTGACCTCGAAAGACTCTGCTAAAGTCGCGAGCGCTTTTCAGAACATTAATTTACAAACGCAGGCCTTTGAAATGGTCAGAGCTTTTGCAAGTGTACCCGGGCGCGAGTTCATCGGCGCTGTCACCAAAGAGATGAAAAACACAAAACAACATTCACAGACCAGGCGACTCTGGAAAAATTTAACCGCAAACCTTGCTGAGCGCATGTTCGGGCACCAGTATCTTCCGAATGGTTAGTTCGGCTTCCTGCTGTGATCTCCGCCCTGAACGGCGCAGTATGAAAAATCTGTCACCAAACCAGATGAATCTGTATTGTTTTATTTACAGGACGGGGCCAAACGGGGCCTTCCAGGTGAGGAGTTGTTGGTTGTACCCCCTACCTCTGTTCTGCCTCCAGCAAATCCAAAACATAATCATAACGCTCTGCGGCTGTCAATCGGTATCCATCTGCAAATGTGGCAATGCCATCTCGTCTTTCATATTGCCCAAGTTCTTTTTGTTTGGGCTGCTGTAAACCGGGCGGTCTTTGGGGTGATCACTTGTGTCATACAGTTCCTTTTTGCTGTTCTTGTCGTTTTAGAAATCGTCGATTTCAATCTACAGCAAGAGGCTGTCTGTGTCAGTATAGAGAAGCTCACACTTGTGACTGCACTGGCTTTTGAGCTCGTTGTAGCAAATCGTAAATCAGTATTTTTCTGTTGTGGAGAATCGTCATCGCGGCATAAACAGGCTTGTTCAGTTTCGCACACTCCTTGTGTATTTTGAAACCAGCAAGATCGTTAGAAAACAGTGTGCAACCGGCAAACAGAGGACTAGCAATCAGCTTGCGAATCTTTTCCCTTTCGTCACTGCGAACTATTTGATGTTAACGCGCTCCTGCATGTTCTCCATCGTTTTCCCGAACACGGAGTTGTTCATGAGTTTGCAGAAGTTCCTCTCGAATTCATTTTTGGCCTGCTTCCAGAATTCTGTGTTCATCTTTCTCGTCTTGTGGCAACTAAATAATAACTTATAGCACCATCAAAATGAATAAAAATTCGGACGTTATAAACCGATACGTTTCTTCACTTCGAAGTTTTGCTTCTTTAAAGAAAATCCTTTGGCAAGACACAGAGGACACGACAATTACTACTTACAAAGGCGCAAAATTGCCCTCGATTTGCCGATTGCACGATCGACCGTTACAGACCTTACCGTAAGCGCTCCAATTCCCTTTAAAAAGTCTGGCTCTCCAACAAAGAGTTTCATTTTTTAATTCTTTGAAAAGCTCCCTTCAAATAATAGCGATAGAATACATTACGCGCAAAATTTAAACATCCGAACAGTGCTAGAACAGCAAACACGACCTCGTGCGTTGCAACAAAATATAGCAATCGTTTTAAGCCAGATTACACATTACTTATATTAACTCGAAACCAGCTTCCCTCGGTTGTAAAGGAAGGAACGGAGGCAGGAGCCACGGTCATGGAACAAGGAGGAAACTTGTTGGCCAATTTCCCTCTTTCGTCGCCATTTTTTTCTCATTCTGGAAATATGAGGACGTCCTCAAAACACATTAATTTCGCAGGAAAGCCTGTTCTAAAAATAATTCTTTACGGGAATGAGTTGACTCAAGTGTACAGCACATATGGATTCTCCAAGTAATCGGCTTCTGCTCCGACCCATTTTCGATGTAGCTCTCAATTTTGTTGTTGACTTCGTTCGTGAAGTCCATCACGTTTTTCCTGATTTCGTTTTGGTTTTGGTTTTCAAAAACGCGTGCCTTGTTTGTTAATGTAATGATCAAATGCGGTCATTCTTAATTCTTCATTCTCATACCCAGGGACTGTATTTCATTTCTCAAGACATTGATGAACCTATTTTCGTTTTTTGCAGCAAAATCAAAACTATCTCTGTTCTCTCCGTTTGGAGCGTCTATTTTCCATACATGTAGCCATTCTCCAAAATCTGTTCTAGCCTGCCAAAAAAAGATCCTTGCAGGTTAGAGTGGGTTGGGGAGGTTTTCCCCGTCAACTGAGCCGTAAAACATGTGCAGAAAATTGTTCTGAAAGCGTTCGGCAGCCATCAAATATATGTACCGAGACAATTGTATATCTCTAACTGGGTTATTTCTCTTTTCTTGAGGCGTCTATGGTAACAGTAAGTGTTTTCGAGCCGGTTTCCGTTGGATGTGCTTGAAACACAATGTTTCTAATTCTTCTTCTAATAGCTGACAGCTGGATGTGCTATTCAAACACAAGGTTTCGATCCGGTTTCCGGGTGTGAACAACGCGGCGTCACACGTACAGTCAACGAAGTCATACACGCGGTCAATGCACATGTGCAGTCAAAGCACAGTCAACATGGTGTTACACACGGTCAACGCACCGTTATACACAATCAATGTGCTGTTTCTCTTAGAGTAATATGGGAGGTGGGGGTTCTGAGGCAGCTCGTCGTCGGGAAATAGTCCTTCCCAGCTCCGAGGAATATGTGTCACAGAACCCCTACCTCCCCTACCACTACAGCTAATAAGATCATATTTCCAGGGGAGAGGGAATAGAGTAAGGATAGGTTCTGTAACAAGTGACTGGGTTGTGGTGAAGAGAGGATGTCCGCGGGCGTTTGGACTTCTAATGTGGAATTTTTCTCCTGAACGATATGCCTAACATACTATCAGATGCCAACGTTTCAATGTATGTGGATGATCATCAGGTCTTTGTAGCAAAGGAAACAAGGAAGAGCGTGGAGAAGATACTGGTGGACAACCGCGAGACTGGATGACTAAATGATATCAAGATAATCTTTTAATAGTCAATTGTGATAAATATCAAGCCATGGTTTTGGAAAATCCAAAAGAAAAAAAGGAACGTTGATCTGGATAAATGTGACGAAAAAGTGGAACAGACAACATACGGTCGAAACAAACAGAAAGCA